ATATTGTGGCTATGGCAAAAAAGCATAGCTAGGCAAACACTCATGGAATGTTATGAAATATTAGATATAGGATTCAATTTTTGGCAAGTCAATACCAAACGTCCAGACACAAACTCGGCACTAGATACTTTTTCCGTGTTGATACTTTACTTTGAAATGGCGACCAAAGGAATGTAGGTAATTTAAGCCAAGTATGAATGGAGATGAGTGTAGGGATGAGTGGCGCAATCTTGTAGTCTTGTTACTGACTAAGGCCGACATATTCCTTAGGCACAGCTGTTAATTAATAGCCCATACAGCCAATGGCAACTGAGGGACCTACAGTTTATTTCGGAATCCGAACCACATATTTTTCCTTGGTATTAACGAATTGGTCTAATTATCAGGATAGCACTATGCATAGTCGTAGTACTCACAATTGTATAGTACACTATTTGGAAATTTACACTACTATCATTACGATATTTTCCTTAAATTGTTCATTATTCAGATGTCAGATTGATGTATAGAAGTTTTAATAGCAATTATGTTTGTGGATGCCCAAACTAAAATGTCATGGCATCAAAACAAAGGCTAATATAAATTATGGATTTAAATTTATGGGTTTTTAGTTTCCTTTTAGTTTGACAATGGATTTTGCATTCTTACATTGCTGGAGACAATCCATTTTAAGGAATGTTAAGTGCGGTTAAACTTAAATGCTTCATTTTTGTTGTTGGTTATTTTACAAACTTTTACAATAAAATGTTTATGGGGTATCTCAGAATCTGTCATGGAATACACACACCATTGAGTATACACACACTATTTTATAGTATGAGAAATATAGCCTACTTGCAGTTTCCAAAGATAATGGTTTAGCTGAAAAATAAAGAACTGTGTAGAATATAATTTAACCTGGCTTTAGTCTCTTAGACCTTACAGAAACAAGTAATTATTGTCAAATATTGCTGCTGTCCATACTGGATTTGAAATTTTTGAGAGAGCATGATTGGAAAATGTAAGTACAAAATCTACTCAAACCTCAAACTATGTCAGCTGAACTATGTGAGCACTCCATGTTTGTGTTAAGAAAAATATCTATTAGACAAAAACTTAACAAACAATAGCATTATAAAAACTCACCAGTATTTGTGGTTGGAATTTTAAACCGTTTTTCAATTGTGGTGATGGTTCCGTTCAAGTAGGCGTAAGAGGAAGACATGACACACCCTACTAAGCCATAAAAGAACACGTACACCTTCTTGTTTGCAAACATCTGCATTAAGGAACCCTTTAAGCACCATATTCCACAGGATATCTCGTCCGATCCTTGCAGTTCCAAAGCGATATCACTGAGTCTTCTAACCTTTGCGTGGGGAGTTCCAACCCCGTTGTCTGGTTTGATGTTTCCATTCTCCCCTTCGAGAGGTCCTTTTCCATTCGGAACATCCGGAGTTTCATCCAGAAGGGGTTCCTCCTCTGGAAGGTTCGGTGTTCCATTTTCGTTAACTTTTTCATTACTTTCCTCGGATGCCACCATGATTTTAAAGTATATAAAAACGTTTGATAAAAATAATTGAATAGCTTAGAGAGCTTTACTAGCAAAGTTGTTACTTAAAATTAAAAATCTTTTGTTGTGATTAAAAATGTAAAAAACCCCACTTTCGAATGACCAGATGTGAAGCTCATCTTTCTCTATTGCCTGCAAACGGAGTGGCGTAATTTTGATATTTCTATTAGCTTTACAAAATCCTTGATTTTTTTCTTTTATCACTTCTGTTTAATCTAGGATCCCTTTAAGACCTGGGACAAGGCTATTAGGTTTGCTCCACGAGTTCTACTGTGTCTCTTATCTTATCATAGTCATATATTTTGGTGGATTTAGGAATTTAGCTAAACTAACAGGTTTTGACACTTTATGTAATAAAAACCTTTAAGCATTTCCGGACCTACAATCCATGTCCTTTTCTCTGTAACGTTTGGATTTCAAATTATATTTTAACCTTACCAGTTAAAATAGATAAATGTCAATTGTGTAGCAATCTTAACATATACAAGAATACCAAAACAAGTGTTTTCACAAAAAAAAACGTAGATATCTTTAAGAGTGTGTAAGGGAAACTGGAGTGGTGCGTAAACATTATTGTATAACGTAACTACGATAACGCAGGTTGACCCCATGACCAGGGGCTATCATAGGAGATACTAACAGGGAAACAGTCTAAGGGAATTGATACATTTAGAGTAAGACAAGAGTAAAAACAAAAAAAAGTCTTAACGATTAGAATCATAAAAACAATTGGCTTCAAAATGCATTGATAATGGACTGAGTCATGGTGTCTTGATGAAATGGTTGCAGTCTTTAATTTTGTACTAAATGATTCATTATCTTAGTTAGTATTGATGTAAAATAAATTGGTACAAATAATTTTTATGAGAAAAAAATATCTATATATGGTGTAGGCTACTTTCAATTGATTCTTCTAGTATGGTATCAAATATTTGTTTTAATTCAATTTTCTTATGTATAAAAAGATCTGCAAATTTGCATCTCTCATCATTCCAAAATTCTGAAAAACAAAATTCCTTTTTTTGAGAGCAGAGTTGGCTTTTTGTTCATATATTGTATAAGATCCTTGTTTACCTAGTTTTATTGTTTAAGATTTTGTTTGGTTGTGTTTAATCTGGCATTTGAGTTTAGACCTGAACCATAAAGGGTCTGTTTTAACATAATAGTGGAGTAGCTTGAATAGTTATACCCTTCATGGAGATCTTAACAGTAAGTACCTAATTATTTTTCAACCTAAATCTTGGAAAAATAAACGTCTTCTACAACCTGACACATAATTTCTCCCATTAGCTATTCAACAACCTTTAAAATGGGTAGGCTGTTGTAGTAGTAACTATGATATTTTATGTAGAACATCACAAAAATTGCAACTTTTGATCCGTAATTTTTACAGCATTAATGTAAGAATTGTAGCATTTTCTTTAGAGTTAAAAGGACCATGACACACTAAATTTTATTAAAATGGTTTTAGCCGTTTTTGGGAAAATCTGATTTTAGAGTCATATTATTATGAGAAAAATAACCATTAAAAATCTAAAATTTAAAAAAATAAAATTTTTGATGTGATTTTATACATTTGGTAGGTACATACCAAATTTATCAAAATTGGATCACAGGTGTCGTCTGTAGCTCTGTACACATCCACACAAACACAGACATCACATCAAAAACCACCTTTTAAGGTTCAGGTGGACCGGAAAAGTATATTTCCACCCAAAACTCTAACTGCAAAATATTGATGAAAACAACAGTTTTCCCATATTACAACGAATAGCGGGAGGAAGTGAAAATATTGTACAAGTAAATAAATATATGCATAACATCACATAACTTATAGATGTAGTAATGTATTAAAATGTGCCTATCATTGAAGGCAATGTTTTGATCCCCACATGAGTTTTATTTGTCATGGAAAGTCCACAACCAAGTAGGAAAATGTATTTGAAGAAGAGGAAAAAGAGAAAAAGTTCTTCCAGTGATAACCATACCTTTTTTGTTTGCTTTGGAAAAAACTTAACACTTCTATAAAGTATGACATAGGGACATAGGACATAGGACAAATATGGGAAGGAACAATTTACCCAACAAAAGAAACCCATGTAGGCTATTTATTATTTTTATTTATTTATTTTTGTAAATACAGTAGTTGGAGTCTTAAGCTTAAAGTGGGACCACAATTTCATAGAGCAAATAACATTTTTTTATTTCCAATTTTTTGTGATTTCTACAGCATTTATTGAATGCATTTTTTATGGTTCCAGCTGGACCAAACTGGACCCAGCTGTTCCTGATCATTTGGCTATAAATTAATAATCCTAGCAGATGAAACAGCTGATCTTAGTAAGTAAAAACACTTATTTACAGATCATCACATACCATTCTTCACTCATCTTTCACTCATATTTGGGTTAAAATACAGACCTAAGTGGTGCCCCATTTCAATAAATGATAATTGATACAATTTTTTGTTTGTTAGATAGCATAATTGATTACTCATAACCCAATGACAAATGGCATCTAAATCTGAAAATTATCGAGCTTAGAATATATCCAAGCAACCTTTAGATTTGAAGGTGAGCTCTTAACTGCTACCCAAACTATTGGAAACTAGTTAAACTTATTCCCAGACGTTTAGAAACCTCATGGCGTCTAGTCTTTTAGTTTCCTTTTGTCATTCTTCAAAACATTGCCTTAAATAATCTCTTCTGTACAGAAAATCACAACCATTATTCCAGCTGTGCCTCATTCCTAAACAATAGTTATATAAAGATATAATCATCATAACTGTTATATAATAGATAATACTCTAGTGTTGGTTATACAACGAACACACAGCTATTCTTGAGGATAAATAATTCTCGAAGGAATAAAGGAAATAAAATCAAACATTTGTAAATATATTGAATTTATATTAATCAAAATTGAAAATATTTAACATCCAAGTTAAACAGTTGCACTGTTTGAGCTGCATTTGATACAAAATGGACTAAAAAGCTTTTGGTTACAATTTCTCCTCATCAAATTGTCAATATAAAAATGCTTTAAACTATTTACACAATATGGCACGACAAAGACAGAATACAATAATAATGGTCACCTTCCAAATCATTAAAACTAACTACCTATTATTTGGCTGAAAAAATATTTAACTCAAAATACAGATTTGCTTGGTAAAATTTAAAAATACATTTTACAAATTTGATATTTTAAAATCTACTTTCTACAATATGGCTACGATACATTAATTTCAAAGTTTAAGCTGGGTTTTCCTAGACGCGGAGTCGGCCAGCGGAGAGCGGACAACGGAGAGCGGACTCAGCTTGTCTTAGGTAATTTAATGTTACTGTTTTCCTAGCAGCGGAGCGGAATGCCATGTTAATTTCAATTCCGCTCTCCGTTGTCCGCTCTCCGCTGGCCGACTCCGCGTCTAGGAAAACCCAGCTTAAAATGTTAAACTTGAGAAGGATTTCAATTTATATAGACCCAGATGAACAATACAAATTAATTCAGGTAATGTTTATTTTTAGCGGTTTTTCCTTTTTTTTACAATTTTACACTGCAATCAATACAGCTCATAGATAAAATTGAATACTTAAAAATTTAGACTGAGATTTGTAATTTTTGGGTTATAAATTTATGATTTATTCCACCAAAAATGCTACAAGGCACAAATGTGTACTGAAATTTTAACACTAACTATTACAGTAGAGTCCCGCAAACTCAACACTCGATAAGCCGGCAGTCTGGATAATTCGGCCATCACCTGGATTAGAAAATTTGTGATTTTTATGTCCGAGTTAAACAGGGGCTCAAGTCAAACCATTGGCAACTCCTACCAAGGATTTATTTTACGATATCTGATGACTTAATACTGACTTGTAATATAAATATAAATACAGTAAATAAGGCAGCTAAAATTGTATTGTTCTTACTTTTAACCCTAGTTCCCGATTACCCGGCATTTCACAAATTCAGCACCCTTCCAGTCCACATTACGCCGAGTTTGCAGGACTCTACTGTAGTTTAAAAAAACATAAAGTACCTTAATACAAGAATATACAGAGCCAAAAAATAACCAAAAATGTTGAATGATAAAAACTAACAAAACGAGCATAAAAATAGTAAATTAAATTGTAGCTCGTTAATTAATATTTAGTTTGTGGAATCAGCAGACATAGACAAACTCTGCCTGTGTTTCTTCTTTGTTTCTGTAGACTTTAAATGACAATTTGGTTGATTTAGACACTATACATAACAAATGATTTAGAGGTTAATTGTACAAACAAATTTTGGTTTGTGATGTTTTTTTTATGATGAAAAGATGGATGAAAAGACATAATGATGGTAAGAACTATGTCCAATTATATCCTTATGGTAACACACATGTGTCCTTAATGGTAACACAAAGCTGTTTCAGAAACCAGAGCATCATTGTTTAGCCATCATATAAAATCTAAGTTTGATGAATGATGATTTACATTAATTAACTATATACACTTTTCTTGAGGTCTTTTAAGTACTTCCGAGAAGAAATTGACATTTTTCACTTCCTTTGAGTCTTCGCTCTTTGAGCAACCATTTCCATTTCAACTTCTTCATCGAAAATCTTCAAATCCTTTACATAGTACCAGACCCCAGCGTCGAAAAGCGTCCCTATTGTCACAAAGCCTGAAAATACATTTTACATTTAGAATATATTGTACTTGGTAAAGCTATCCTTTTTTTGAGGAGATTTAGATTGAGTAGATTTGAGGAGAAGTAAGGATAAGTTCTGTCCAATGAACTTAATTTAAATTCATGTTTTTATTTTCGAGCACCTTAGTCAAATATGTTAAATGTAATAAACCCAATTAAAATACCAATTTATGTTTTAAAAATTATGCCTACAAAATTAGATTACATAAAAACACTAGTTAACAGTTATTTTTCAAAATTTTTTCGGGGGCGGGGCACCACAGGTCCCCTGGCACTGGGGGGCGACTTCGACCATCCCTGCTTCAGGGCACTCCAAACCTGGCTACGCCACTGCCTGGAGATACTATACATTGGCACCCTTATATCAAATTTAATAACAATCTGAAAGACATGTGTTGTCTGAACACACATATTGATACAACTAACCTGTAGCCGTGAAGTTGAGCAGGAACCTGAGGGACTCGGCATTGTAAAGCCAACAGTTGCCTGTCCCTGAACATGTCTTTCCCCACACCAGGCAAGTCTTGTCTGCAACACCATATATCATACCCACTGCACCATTTGATTGTCGAAAGTCAATATAATAATAAGCCTTAAAATCAAATGTTTGTTTGTCCGATTGTATTAAACTTTGGAAAATTGATCTCTATTATGTCTGGAAAGGTTCTAGCCACAATTACACAAAGCCAGTGAGCGGGTAAGTTATACCTGCTTCTGGTAACTTTGAATACGCTACAGACAAGTAACCTGTCCCGTCCTGTCTGTCCTACAGGCCTCGTGTAAACACGGATAGTGTTCTGCTCCTGCCAGACTGCCAGACTGCAGTCTGGTTTTGTCCTTGGTCGGCCTCACGGGCATGTAAATGATTTTGTAATTATACATGTTTTTGATCTGGTTATGACGTGTATGTGTGAAGTAATTTTGACGATGGCTTGTGCAAGAGAATATGTTTGACATATGATGACTGAAGAGAAGATTTGAAAATGGGGTTGTAAACCCGAAACTATAGTCATCCACGACAATATAGGACTGATTGACGACAGGTTAGTAACCTCATTTTATGTCTATTATATACTCCATCCACAAAGTTTATGCGGTTTGAGGGGAAGCGATTCCATCCCCTTCACCTAACCCTAACCTTGAATCCACAGCCGACAGCTGATCAGCTGATACATATCTTGAAAAAGTGGTGATGAAATCCAGGAAACCTTCGCCTTAAACTGCCTAAAGTTTGTGTACGGACTACTTTAGCTAAGAGAGTGGTGCGATATTGTGGTTCTACAGAGTGGTGGATAGAGGTTTTCTTAAGTTGCTTCAAAGACCTATATACCTTCTCTACATTCTTTCCATTCCATGGATAAAGGATAAAGCTACTGATAAAAAAAATATATTTCATCCATATTGAAATGGGTGTTTTGACTGACAATCAAGGACCAGAAAGGGAAACTAGAAGATATAATTTTGTTCCAGATGTCTTTAAAATAAACACCTCACAATTAACCAAGAAATCTCTTTTGAACACTGCATTGCATTGATGTAACACTTACCAATGAAATAGCCAAAAAGTATGGGAGAAGGTATGAAGGCAAACATACTCATAAGCATGAGGCCGAACCCCATCGCAATTGGCTTATCTTTCTCCTCCACACATCTGGAACATAAAATCCCATGGGTGACTGATCAGTTAACAATCAGTACCTAATAACAATAACAATAATATCAATCAGTTAACAATAATTAGCTATTGCTATTCATTTATTAAGTATTCATTAACACTCCTGATATACTATACTATGGAATATTTTTTTCTGTTTTTACTAATACTGGCACAGACATTGCTAATGTACTTTAATTACCTACTTAAAATATTCAAAACGCGAAAAACCCTTTCATATTCATTCTGTGGATTTAAGAATGCAATCTTTGTAGCTGTGATTGTTTTCCTCTTTTTTATTCTACCTAAGAACTCGTTTTATACCTTCAGATCAAGTAAACTTGTAAACTCAATTAAGACTTCAAACCCCATTCTGTTCACTTTTCAATCCCTTTTTCTCCTTAAACCTTTTTTATCCATTCTTACCCATTTTATCTCATACAAAATCTACCCTACTTACAATATATAACCATCACTAACAAAAAAATGTACCTGACTGAAACAAGGAAATTTGAGGCTCTCCCTGTAGCTCCACTGAACTTCAGCATGCAGACGACGGCAAGGAACATGTAGAACTTGGTGGTGCAGTCCACGGGGCACGGTCCTGCAGTGATGTACCACGGGACATCCTCTGCATCTCCCTCAGGACCTCCCAGGAGTCCCTCCTCCACTAGGGAGACAGGAGGGTCCGGGGTAGGCAGGAAGGGAGGGCGAGGGGCGCAGGAGCAGTCCGTGTACACCTGGAACATGGTGGGGAGACTAAGTAGTGTAAGTGAAAATAGAGGGTAGTTAAGGTAAGTCATAGTCTCAACAAAGCAAAGAAATATTACAAAATAAAATCTCCATTCAAAAGCTGTTTTAACATACTTTTTCCTTCAAATCAGAATTTCGTTAAATGCTATCCAACTGCAATTCTGGGTCCAGATTCCCTTTTAAATTTATGGTTTTTGATCAAGGATAATTCTTGACAATTTTACTAACAAGGTTAACATTTTTTGTTAAAAAAACATTGAAAAAATACAGAAACAAATTGGAACAAAAGAAAGTAGGAATCTAAGTGACAAAAGAAAATTTAAAAAAAATTAGGAAGTAAAGAAACAAGGTGGACAAGGTGTACACACACTTGTCTGAACAAAATGATTAAGAAATATGTCATTCTAAAAAACGGTCTACTTGGTAGAATGCAGTAGTGATGACTTGTGCACCTTTATTACTCAAAGCAGTTTTCCCATTTTCCAGGACTTTTTAGTAAAAGTATAATGATCATGGACAACCGGATTCAGGTTGGAATCATCAAAAACCTACCAAAATTTTCATATGTTCGAACCTGCCACCTCCTATTTACCAAGCAAGCACTGTAACCACCTTACCAGTCCAACTAAGGCAGCATTCTTCAGAGTAGCAAACATATAAGAAACAAAAAATACACTACATAAAATAAAATGGAATTTATTTACTACTTACCTTGGAGCCATTGACGAGTGTCTGGTAGGACCGACATCCAGCATGACATGGAGAGATGAAGGTTCTCCCATCAGGAGAGCAGACTGGGGAATACTTGACATAGTCACAATGACAGTCTTCATTGCAAGGCGCTGATGTCTGCAGTCTGAAATCACAAACTGCAAATTCAATTGCGTAAAGTAAAAACTGATTATAGAGTTTAATTTTTAGTCGAGGAAGACAGAATATAAAAAGTTAAGATCTGAATTTAAATTGCTATGTAGGTATTGTTTTTAAGAAAAGAGAGTATTTTCCCAATTAATTACATCCGCCATAAATTTAAACAAATTACCATTTTTTTCTATTGAACAAATACAAGATACATTAATTTCCATTTCTTTCACATCATCACGTCACATAAATTATCAGGGGTTCTCTAGGGTTAAATTATGTTACTGACATACAAATTACTTATCCCAAAAACATTACTTTCCTTACTTGTTTACTATCTACCAGAGAGTTAAGATTCTCAATTATTCAATAATCACTCGGATGATATTATTTGCCTAAGAGGTAGAGTAAGATACGCACTTACTCGCCAGAAGAAGTGATAGCGCCCTGTGTGTCATTGACAGGACAGCCCAGAAAGGCGTAGGAGATCATCCCCATGACACTGATGGCACCGACCACCACGTTCCAGGCAGCGAGGTAGCGTGCACGAGGTTTGTACTTGGAGATGACAAGACCTGATATGAGGATTCCAAAGGCTGAAAACACCAGCCCGACCGTACCTGTGGGAGTCAGCATGTGAGTGGAACAACTTAAAATGTTTACGTGTGATAAGCACTGAATAAACTTGACCTGCTTACTCCCCTGTGTAAGACTATGGTATAATCTATGAGTAAAGATAAAATATTTTTAGAAAATAATTGAGACTATTTGTGAGTAGGGTAACTTACTTAAAATATTTCTGGACTACCTTGTTAGCTGGATTTTTTTATTTTGAGAAACCTGTTCCTGTTAGCAAAGCTGAAGGGGAGCTTAGTGGAATCCCGTTCATAGAATTCTCTGATTACGGATAAATTTTCTAAAATTTAAACTGAATTTAACAGTACATAGAATACTAGAGCTGGAGTGTTGTTTTACTAGTTTCTCTTGTTCAAAAGTTGGCTGAGAAGAAGAATGACAGTAATTGTGGTGGAAGGAGAGTTAATAATCTTAGTGGCTGCCTCTGATGATCTTTTGTACAATAGTAACTTTACTAACCAGAATATCTTAATATATTCTGAATAAAATAAGTTTTCTAGTATAATTAAGATTGTTGTTTTACAAAGTTGAATGTGGGAAGCTTAATACTGGAGGGACATAACAATTTTGTTCATTCACCTGTTATAAAGCTCGAAGCTGATGCCGACTGTTTGTACATAGTTTCAATGTACTTTGGCATGAAGATCCAGTATGGCATGTAGCCCATGAAGTAGAAGATGGCAGCAAAGTTGTTACACATCAAGGTGGGGTTCATCATGAGTCTCTTGAAGGTTTTCATCATATCTGAAATGTATTAGAATAATTTTAAATTCATTTTTTAAAACTTTACTCTTAATTTTAATTTTGTAAATTGTTTGTAAATTCTTTTGTAAAATACACAGAAAACGTCTGGAGCTTGACTCGTTTCCTGCAGGGTAGTAATTTTTTTTCAATTTAACCTTTATTTTTAATATTGTTATTTTCTTGTATCTGGGCAAAAATTCCTAATTTAGAACAACTCACAAAACTTAAAACTGTCCCGACAGCTTTCACCCTTCATTTAGGTGGGCTTTTCCCACCAAACTGCCATCACAGACTACTGAACTCCTTATAAACTACACACAGACCACCAAAATGAAATTCTAGCACAGTCAAGCTTGCACAGTTTCCTGATTCGGAATACAACACATTAGACCACTCAATACGACTGAAAGTTTACTGCACTAACATGGTAAACTCAATGTTAACTAGTTAGCTTGTCTTCTAAGGGGAGCGAGCTGGTCTAGTGCACGGGACTTAGTTTCCTGAGGTCCCGGATTCAAATCCCGCCAAATAAACAGTGGATTTTGTTTAAGTGATAATGCTGCAACCCCTAGGTCAATTCTGGGCTCGTACCTAGAGGTAAAAAGAAAACAAAAAACTTAGTCTTCTAGGTTGCAGCACTTGTCAGAAAAGTTTTGCACAGTTTTGTCGAGTTATGCTTGCATAACCAGTTGATTGTGAAAGTAGATTTAATTTCCTAACTTATAATACCCAATGTATTGGTTCTTTGTGCCAAACCAACCTTGGAATGAAGCTGGTAGTTCAGGCTCCACAGATTTCTGTTCTTCTATAGCTGCCTTCTCAGTTGCTAACATTTTCCTGGCAGCAGCCCTCGGTAGTGTTTTGGGGAAGAGCGCCAACAGGGAGGCAAACATGAACAACAATACTGCTAGAACCAGCCATCCTGGAAATAAATAGAAAAAATAAACTTATTTACAAAACATGATACATTAAATTCTAAAAAATATTTTGAGCTGATTCTATCTAACTTTGTATGCCTTACTTGTATACTTATTAACATTAAAATTTATAACTCTAAGATATCAAGTTTTCAGTTTATGCTTCCGATACAGATACAACAGAGACAATTAATATTTTTAAGCTGTTTATCCAAATTAAGTCCGTTATTTAGTAAATTAACTAAGTATAAGTAAAGTCATTAATTGATTAGGATTTTTTAAATGTTTGGAACAATAATCCAAAATAGTGTTATGGCTTCTTTCTAGGGGGCTTCTTTCTTTCTTGTTATGATAAGCTCGATCCTATGTTATAAACTCTGATGACTACCAGGAAAGCAGACCTCTCTTAAGGGGAAATGTTATTAATACCACTGCTTAGTTTGATGTAAAATATGTTTCCAAAAGCACTATTGATTAGGTAAAAACACGTGTGTGCAATAATTACAAATTGTATACTTGCCTAGCCACCAGGCCCCAAGCCACCGAGGATCCCCCATTTTGATTGTTGGAGTCAGAGATGGTGAAATATAGAGCTTCAAACAAAAAGAAGCCAACGCATATCCAATGGCTGGGCCCAACATGCGGAGAAAGTAGGAGAAACCTGGAAATAAATTAATCAGATGAGTACTACTACTTCATTATTTTTTTAAATGATCTAAAATGCTTCTAAAAAGTGTAAAACTGTATGTTTATCTTTTGGCATCACATTTGAATCTGCAATATAAAACCAAACTTCTCATTTTCTGAGTGTTAGAGGCAAGAATGTTTAACATTTCCCAGTACTGTACTTATCTATACTCACTGACTAGTGCAGGAGTCTTTGACCTCTTGATGTTGTCATCCATGTACGACACTCCCAGCGTGTAGTACAGTGAGCCCCCCACCCCGGACACTAGCTGTGCTGTGAACAGTATGATCTGCGGGGCCAGGTTAGCCTCCGCCACATCACACCCCGCCGACCCCGCCGTCTGACACAGGATCTTGCGGTTCTGCTTCTCTGCAACAATCTTATTGTTTACCTGATGGGGCATTTTTTTCTGTTGATATTTATACCCTACTCTTAAGTATTCATATCTGATCATATGGCTGTCCCCTTTCAACTCCCACACAAAATCCCTGTCCAAAACTATTCAGGTCTATTGGATCTGAGGAAAGTTAATTCCACCTACTTATGACAATGTGTCACTGAAAATTAAAAAGCTTAAAAAGTGAGCCTTGAGAAGAATCCCATGATAAAATCCACCTATCTAAATGGGAGGTTGGCCTCCATCAATTGGGTAGCTGTTTTTAGTGGAGGCTCCTAAAATGTGCAAGTATCGATTTTTTATTGTTCTGTACAGCATGAAGAGTACAGTATAGTACTTCGATCAAAGTGACAATCTTACAAAATTTGTAGCCTTATATAAAAAAAGTTTTCTTTGAGAACATTTTTTTAAATATCTACAATAAAGCAAGGTTTGGAGATATTTTGAAAAATATTCTCATGAAGGCTAAATCTACGAGGCAAAAAATCCAGATTTGTAACGCCCCATCAAGTAAGTAAAGCAAGGTTTACCGATAACTGCAGCGGTGGTGTTCCCATCGTCATAGTGTCCCCCGTACTCCACGGTGAGTGACAATGCGTCTAGTCCTGGGCCGTACAGGAAATGTGGCAGAGCATTCATGAGACAGAACACCACGACAGTGTAGACACCCAGGGCGATCCACCGAGGCCGATGTCCTCTACCTGCGTAGTAACTGAGCACCACAGAGACAAACAGCTGGCTGATGTCATTGCCTACTGTGATGATACCTGTGCAAACACAGAGGACTATGTAAGATAAGAAAGATATAAGAAAGCAAGGTATGCCATAGAGTTTAGAGAAATTGCATTCATTGGGTTGTAGATTCATCCAGAGAAACACTTTAATGAAGACAATAATCAATAGTCAAAGGACATACTTGGAAGATGGCATCAAAAAGCATAGGGAAATTGAAGAAGACGATTTAAGGCCAGAGAAACTAAAACAATGAAAGAAATACACAATAATAAACTGCAAAAGACGCATCAAGTTGGAGGGCATTCAAACACACAGAAGTGTTTCTTCCTCACTCTTCATTTTAAGTGACGACTCAGAGAAGTAAGATACAGAGGAAACACGTTTATGGGACAACCATGCGCTTTCAGCTCTGGTGTGTTGAGCCGGAAATATACTTGTGACAAGCAGGGAAGAGCCCGAGCAGCGAGCTCTATGCGGAAATTTCTATCGCACAGGGTAGAGAGTCTTCCTTTACTGTGAGCGTTATTATTATTTTTACCTACCCATTATAATTATTATCATTTGAGATGGGAACACCACCTATGTGCGTATTTTAACCCAAATATGAGTGAAGGATGAGTGTAGGTGAGGCCTTGTGTAGCTTTGTTACTGACTAATACTATATGGTATCAGCTGTTTCATTAGTAAGGAACATTTATTAAAAGCCCAATGATCAAGAACACCTGGCTCCAGTTTCAAACCATCAAAGAGTAGAGGGGTGGTGTTGGACTTTGCCCTAGACGCTAGATACCACATAAGTGTACCATAGAGTAAGAGTGTATCCTCTATTCCTAACTTCTCTGTGATGAATATAAAAAATTTATAGATGAAAACTCAGGTATAAATTCTTCAAAATGTAAAATGAATGCAAAAGACAAAATTAGTTTACCTGTTGTTTTGCTTGGTATTTTAAACCGTTTCTCCAAGGTGGTGATTGTGCCGTTGAAGTAGCTGTATGAGGCAGAGAAGATGCAGCCGAGGATGCCATAGAGGATCACGTAAGCCTTCTTGTTGGCGAACCTCTGCAGCAGTTTCCCCTTGCAGCAGCCTATGCCACAGGTTGTGTCTTCTGAGAGTACGATGTACTCAGTCAGCCGCCTCTGTCTCTGCAGCATCTTGTCTGCTTCTGAACCTGAGACATTCATGTTGAACTCATTATTTTTTCAGAATTTTTTTTAATTTGTTTTAAATAGGTAGGATAGTCACCTTCTTGTCTTTATGGGTGAAATAACCGCACACTGAAGAAAAATGGGAAGACCCTTTTTGCCAACCCCTGAAGCAAGGTTTTGCCCCCTGCCCCTTTAAAAGAATTCAATTAGTGGGGTCAACAAATAAAAAAACTACTTTGGTAAAAATAAAATTGATAAATAAGTACTGGTACTGTCTCCCTTTTTTTTGACAAACTAGTTGAACTACAGGAACAGGTAATATATCTTAATGTTATATTTTAAATGGTTTCTAAAAAGTATATGAAGATCTCTTTTCAAAGTTGTTTGGAAGACTTTTACTTTGTTATTTTCTGACAGTGATCAAAATAATGTTGAGAAATTGTCTATGTCTATACAAAGCCAAATCCTGACTATACTGTACCTTTGACATGGCCATTCTCCTCCAAGTGAACTGACTGAGAATCCTGCAAGTCCTTAAAGTCCGGAAACTCTGCTGTTCTTTTAGGTATCATCCGTTCCTCCTCGGCCAGAGAAACCCCTCCATTTTCTTCCGACTGTCCGGGTTTTTGGTTCATTGTAAAACACTTTTAGAAATATTTAAAGTCTTTGATAAAAATATAAAAAGTTTAATAGTTACATTTTTACTCAATAGAAAATTTTACTTAACAAACCACCAAAATAATAGTCGTTGGTTTAATTATATATTTTTAATCACTGAGATTGAACTCAAGTACGCTGCATAACACACTAGAAGATTTTCTTCGTTTGAGAACGGCTTCAGACTTATAAGGTCATTCCCACCTTCCTGTAAAAGAAAGGTTAGTTATTTTATCTTATCAGTCATGCACCTTGAATAATGTTTAGTTAAATGTAGGTTTATCTTTTATATAACCAAGTTAACCTAGCTCAACTTTGATATATAGGACTAAACCTAGACATATACAGGCCTCTATTATGTAACGGAGCCAGACAAAACATAGACAATAAATAGTATTGAAAAATTGTATGTTTATGACAAATTCTGATATAAAATTATAATAAAGTGTTGAATTGATAAATTTTGTAATAAGTACTCAACAAAATATTTCATACATAAATACTTAATGTGAACATACTTTATGTATGTTTACTACATACTTAAGTAGAATTAATGATTATCAAATTTACAACTTAAAAAAATGAACTTTACTTGCATTAAACTAACATTTACAGGAATTATTCCGCTGTCTGTCACGGCCCAAATGGCATTTTACGCGGCCTACTCCAAGAAAACTAAAGTAACGATCATATTAAATTCTAATAGTTGAATCGTATTCACAGGATTGACGAGAGTAAAATAATAAAATAAATCTACTATGATGTTTATGACCTATGCAAATTGTTAAGTAATAATGTGCATAGCTACAATAGTTCTATTAGCATAAAATTCTTGGAAATAGAGACTTTGTAATGAAAACATAACCAGTCAATTCGTAATTAAAAAAAAAATTTATTTAAAACATTGTATGATTAAATAAATTATTTTTAAATATCCTTTTTACCTCGATTATTAGAAGAGAAATGTGCTATTCTAATATATGATTTTTACTGTCAAAGAAAACAATCACTAATTTTTGTATTGGTTTTGAATAGAAACATTTGTTATTAGCTACACTAATTTAGCTGATATTTTTTTTTCTTACTGGCAATCTTGTATTAGAATTCTTAACCAACCCCTTACGTTTGAATAAAACACATAAATTAGGTAATAACATTACAGTTAGCACAAAAACGGATACCTGCAGAGGATTGATATTTGAAAAAAAAAATACCAACCAAAAGTCAAAATTAGAAACCAGTCATAACAGTGTCGGCTGCTTCTGGCTAATGATCCTAAAAGTAACATTTTATCAGCAATATAAAGCAAAGGTCACTCCCTGAGCCTGACTTTTGGACATTCCAGCCACATTTTATTGTGAAAGAAGAGTAAATTCGTATTTATTCCATGGTAAATTGGTGGAAGTTGTTGTAATCTCTGGTAAGTCAAGAGAAATAAAAATTAATAAAAATAGCATCCTTTGTAATCCTATTATTTCCTTACGATGTACGTTCTAAAACAATTTGGTTGACTTCTAAAACAATTTGATTGACTTGAACCACAAGCTACTTAAACTGTGCATAACTATGGGAACTGTTTTAGCCTACAGTCATTCATATTAACACTGTATTTTATGAGCATTACAAAGATTTTCTGTTGAGAAAAAATGTTTTTGTTACTATTATGTTAAATTAATTTGAAGACTTAGCCCAATGCAAAGCTATAAGTCTATAGTCAATTAGGCACAGATAAATGAGCCTATTTGTTTTGGTTAATAAGATTTATTGGATTATTTAACTCTCATCTTAAGTTTTGACAGTCAATATGGGTTAATCAATACTATTTTTTTCAATAATCCAAACCTCTTCGTAGCCTACTAAAGATCAATTAATATATAAGGTGTCCCGGAACTCTCTACCAATATTTTAGGGCATTGTTCCTGGGTAAGTAACATATCTAAACATCGAAGTCCAGAGTTACTCACACAGCCGCCATTTTGTTTTTTTTTCACTTAATTTTTTTTCTGAAAATTAGTTAAACATACTAAATTGAAACTTTGCACAAACATTTCTGACAACTAGAAAAAGCTACGAAACAAATGAAAATTTTCAAAATGCATAAAACTAAATGGCGGTTGTGCCCACTATGGGCTTCCGGACAATTTAAATATGATATAGGTACATGTTTCTTACCCAGAAACAATGCCCAAAAATATTGGTAGAGAGTTCCGGGACACCCTGTAGATTAGGATCGAAGAAAATAAAAAAAACCGATGAATGTAGTCGAGAAATCGAGAATCCCATGTATCATCTGAATGGCTTCCGGCTAAGAAGACTGTCGGGAGTTGGTAAGCTGCTCCCCCGTGCCTGGGACGCCAGCGAGTGCGTCGTGCAAAATGCTTGTCTTGACTGTACTCTTCCATTCCTGACCTAATCTCTTAATCCCTTCTTTGCGGGTGTGAGTAAACTGTTCTCCCTTGGCTGTTACATACATTTGATTTATGTTCACTAAACTATTGAGTTACAGACTAGTTAGAGTTTAATTGTGTAATGGTAATAGAATGTAAGTATGTAAGTAATAAGTTGAGGCAACAAATAAATTACAGCAACCCATTCTAGTTTCCAAACACTATGGCCCAATGATAGTCTTTAGAAAGTAAAAAAATTGAACACTGCTTAAAATTGTATAACTACTGAAATAAAAAATATTGCGTTATCAAATTTGTGTTGCTCTTGAATAATGCACGCATTAGCATTCCACTTATAATACTTACGTTCAAAAGTTTACAAGTTTTAGGGATATATTAAATAATTGAAAAAGTTTTTAAATGGTAAAATGTTGTATTTCCTTGTCTTATCCTTGAAATATTAATGAATAGTCTATACATTTACACCAATCATAAATATAATCAAACGATCTTTATGATCAATAAAGATCCAAACTATAGAAAAACTCAAACTTAAAAAACATTGATTTCTTATCAATAAAAAACATCATATTTTTAAATATTTAAATAAATTGTTGAAAATAATTAAACTCTCTTTGTTAACAATAATATACTTGAAAAATTGAAAACTCATTATAAAAAATAAAATATACTAGTTAACAATATAGAAATAATAATTTTTTTTAATATTATAATAAACCCTTGAAAATAATTAAACCCTCTTTATAATCAATTATACTAAATGAAAAAATAAAAACTCATTATTAAAAACATACTAGTTACTGTATCAATATAGAAATAATACTATTTACACGAGTTTCTTGGAATACTTTACCTACGACCGGTTTTTAATTACTAATAATCACTAAACCCGATTTCCAGAAGAGGTTATGTTTTCGTTTATGTATAATCCCTCATTGCCACTGACAGAGATGCGACGACTCGTTGTACCAATCACTAAATGCACCTATCGTTATCATTTAAATTGGCAAAGAGATGGTTAGTTAAAGTTCGAAGCATTACAATAATTCTTTAACTTTTTTAAATTATTTTACTTTTTCTCTTAATTCTTGACCCTCATTGGTCAAGTAATGTTCTCGTGTAGTTAACTAAAATAAACTGATACATTACCCGTGTACATAGTTAACTAAAACTATGATGTCATGTAAGTAAACAATGCTGTTATGTGAAACTTTTCAATTTTAAGAACTGAACCGTAACGGCATTTAAAAAACTGTCGTAGGTAAAATATCCAAATAAACTCTTGAAAATGATTAAGGTTTGTCACATGAACGAAGCATGAACGAAGTCCGTAATTTTTTTGCGAATTGCTTACTAGCAATTTGAACGAAGTATTTCTGCGAAATCGCACCACTCAAATAACGTTCTCTTGCAAGGTTTACTTCGTTTTTTCTCTTCCTGTACTGTTTCCCTCCATTCTCCCGTGGCTTGTCTTGCACATTATTGATCTTAACATACTTGGAATGACACCAGCTCACTCACAAAGGGTAAACACATATAAATATTCTATAACAAAATCGAGTATATCATCATAGTATGCTCATTATCTTGTAGGTATGAAAATCAATAGTGTTTATCAATGTTGTTAATAATTTTGCCTTTAAGGATACCGAAATTACAGGTTATACACGCGTACTTACAGTAACTGTTAACACAGCATCTACGGTCCTACTACCGTTGGTACGGTCATAATACTTTAGATCCATTAGGGTAATTTGTAACCAACTCTGAGTCAGATGAAATCTGCAACCAAAGATAAGTACAGTGGTCACCCATTGCAGATTGAATTTTCTTAAAGAACTTCATATGTTGTTTCCTTCTTATCAGGAAGTAGGGTAAACAGAAGTGGGATGTAGTGTCCATTCTCCACTGCAAAAATGGTAAACATCTGCTTGAAATTGTCACAGCAATAGTCGAAGGTTCTATCCATTAGCAAAGTCTCACTGTCTTAGCATTTCTATATTTCTCTCTGTTCCAAATATCACAATTTTATTTTCCTTATCGTTGTCTAATAGAAAGTTCTTTCCCCGGCCGGTTTCAATGTTCATGCTATCCAGCGCCAGTTGAGTTTGAAGTAAAGTTTTAGGTAGAGGTGGCAAAGATTTTCTTCTCGCATTGTAAATATTCTTCCTGACCTTCGAGCTATGTTTTTCAGTGACTGTTTCCTTTCCACTACTTAATTCTAATTCCAATTTAATGATTTTCTCGGGTTTCTCTCAAACAACTGTTCTGTTGCTTTTCTTTTGCAGCTATTTGATATCGCTTGGACTGAATATTTGCTTTCGTCGGGGTCATGATTATGCTGTAGATTGTGCTCTAGTATGTCAGTTGTTTCCGCGGGAGTACCGCGCACGGACGTTTTACCTCAAGATATACCACACAAAATCAATTGTTTTCGTATTATGTTATCACATAAAATATGCATGATTGTTTTCCATGCGAAAAGAATGTTTACGGTGCAAATGTAATGTTTGCTATCATATTTTTTATGTTGTCGACGTAAACAAAAAAACATTATTTGTAATTGTAATTATAAACAGTTTCGATAAGCAAAAACCAAAACTGTACAATCAATGTAAATTTGGACTTGTTATATAAGGCCTAGGTAAAAAATGTCATTAGTTTTTAAGCTTTCGTAACTGGATTAAAGAAATTAAGTATTCCAATGAATGTTTTTATTTAAAAAGTAATTAGTCTTTGTAGTGTACCGAAAAATAACGTTGAAAACAAAAGTGAAAGTGGATAGTTTATTCTCAAACCTATAACAAAATTAAATTACTTCTAAAAACAGTTTGCTACAGAAACTTTACATGGCCTAGGTAAGATGTAATTATTATGTAAAACAAATTGTGATGAAAATCACTCCAAAACTCCCGCCGCGGGCATGGAACTTTCGGTGTGGCATGGCTCAAAAACAAAATTTGATAACGCACTATATTTGCGTAGTGGTACGACAATCATTGGAGCATAGTGTTTGGAAACTAGAATGGGTTGCTGTAATTTATTTGTTACCTCAACTTATTACTTACATTCTATTACACAATTGAACTCTAACTAGTCTGTAACTCAATAGTTTAGTGAACATAAATCAAATGTATGCAACAGCCAAGGGAGAACAGTTTACTCACACCCGCAAGGAAGGGATTAAGAGATTAGGTCAGAAATGGAAGAGTACAGTCAAGACAAGCATTTTGCACGACGCACTCGCTGGCGTCCCAGGCACGGGGGAGCAGCTTACCTACGCCCAGACTGTCAAGTCTAGTTTAAACAATAAGATAGCACAAGTGGGTGACCAAGTTGACGCTAAGGATTATTTTTATAGAACGAGGTTTTATTTATAACGTGCAAATCATGGCCAGAGTATAAATAGCCGCCAACTAGTACAAATCGTTTGTATCCGGTCGGACCACGTTGCATCATAAGTCTGTGTGGGAAGAATTAGGTTCAAATCGCTGAATAAATTCCAAACACCAAAATTTTTTACAAATAGGAGTGTTTCTTTGCATTTTAAAAAGTGTTTATACTATTTTGAAGTACCGGTACCGACAGGTTAAAATGTAATCAATAACAATTTAATTTTTTTCTATTTCGAAAGATTCCACTAAACATCAAACTATGCCATAAACTAATAAAAATACAGTTATGACAGTTTAATTTTTCTAATAATATAAAATCAAAAATATTTCCACGTTTCTTTCTTTCAGCATGTTATTTACGAATACAATTCTAAGCTTATTGTTTATCATTCATACGTAAGAGATTAATATTTTGTTTTGTCATAGATTGTACTGTACTCAAACTTACATAAAGTCTACTATGAATATCTTTAAAGTCTGTCACAAATATTCATATAAACTCGCCCGATGATTAAACAGAAAATTCACATGTTGAGGTTGAACAAAAAATTTTTGACACAGTCTGAAAATACAATAAACATTATTTAGATCAAGTATTAGCTCATGAGATACTAAATTTCGTCAATTAATTTATCTAAGACTATTCCCTATATGGAAAAAGGCGGAATGAAGAAAAACTTAATTTAGCTAACGTATGGACTGCGCTGTAACAGCTGTAAATTTTTAAACAAATTACAAAAATCTTTAACATTAGTTCACTGTATATAATAAGACCTCGTGGCGCAACGGTAGCGCGTCTGACTCCAGATCAGAAGGTTGCGTGTTCAAATCACGTCGGGGTCAATAAACTTTTTAAGCTATTAATTTCGTAAAAATAGAAGAGCAATATGTAAAATATAGTTGATACTTTTTTACATTACATTTCATAACTTGGGCATTCACTAAAATTGTTTTAATCTTCGTAATTCTTTTGACTATTTATTCAATTACAACACGAATAATGTTTTAGTGTGAAAATATTACGGTTTTAAGAACGAAAATATTTTCACATTGATGATTCAGCAACCCTTAACTTAACAGCTAAAATTGATTTTAAAAATACAACTCCACTACACATGCGAAACATGTGAAACCTTGGTATAGGTAACTCTGCCAATCATGTCACTAATACAAAAATTGATGACATTTGGTTTTTACAATTTTTATACTGCATTAGGCCTAGTTATTTGTTATTTATTAATGTCCATTTAAGGGGAGCGGGACGTCCCTATCCCGAGCATGTTAAATTTACCAACTTTAGGTAATTTTTTCAAAAAAATAAAGAGCTATAAATACCACCATAATTTTTATTTTATTTTAAAAAGTATATCGTCGTTACATACCCTACCACTTAAAAAAAATATCTCTACTAAAAATACTTTTTTTTACAATTAATTTAAAATAGTAAAAATATATTAAATTGTACAAATAATATTTTTTTTATGTAACTTCCCATCAAGTTAGAATATTGAAAGTGGCAACACTATCAACTGACAAAACCAACGACAAAACCGACCTCATAATTAGTTCGTCAAAAATGACGATCAACTTGAAATGTTTTTTTCTCCATGAAATATGTATGTTTACCTCAAATTGTTGTGTTTTCTTGTAGAGGAAAATCTAAATAAAAATTGAGCTAAAAAACCAAATTCTAGATTTTTTACTATTTTCGGTACCTAAGAAAAAACTAACCCCAACCTCCCTTAATAGATGAGAAGTAAAAAATGTAATCTGTAACGCAGTTTTATCCACTACTTTTTATGAAAACATAGACATTTATTTATTTAAACTACAGTCCCGTACTTCGTAAGTTATTGCTGTAAAAAAATATAGGACTGTCATTAAAACTAACATGTTTGCCTCTTCATGCCTTGTTTGTACTAATACCTAATTCTTTTTCAACCTTTTTCAAGCTCTGAGCACTCTCTAGTTTTAAGAAATTTATAAGTTACAAATATATGTATAAATGTATAGAATTAAAAAAAAACATTAAAAAAATAAATAAAAAAAACAAATGTTTTTAGTTGAAATAGGCCTAATGGTACACCAGAAAGGTAATTTGAATGTATACAAATGTACTGTACTTGTTTTATCTAGCATTTACAATGTGTTTGCCAACCCGGCTGACGGTCTTATAAGACCAAGTTGGAAAAATGCGAGTCTGCTGTGTGAATCATGAACTGGTTATACTATGGAAATATTGTAAAACTTGTACTTAGATCATGTAAATAAAGCATTGTTTCATTCATTCATTCATTCATTCAATACCTAATTCTAGAGAAATGATGTTCACAGCTAGACAACGTAGGCAAATAACTACAGTAGAGGGTGGAGACCTTCAACTTCAATGTCTGCATTTCATCAGCTTTAAATTGTTTAATAGTTTGAGATCAGTGCAATCATCAGGACACTTCTAGGGATTTCGTATAACAAGTTAGCCTATATGTCAGTAAGTTCTTGTATGTTAAGTTTGTGTGCGTGAGATGTTAGATACAATGGCATAAAATAGAAGGAAACTACAGAACTTTATTTGACAACATTGACTAAGTAAAGGATCGGGGAGATAGGATAAACACTATTGGTTATACTTGGGACTTGTACTCGGCGTTGTAAACAAAACCCAAAACACATACCTTGACCCAAATCTCTTAAATGTTTATTAAAATATATACAATCTAAACACCATAATAAAGTTTAGATAACGCAATCAGAATCTTATAAATTAAGGGTGATATACTAAAGAAAACGCGAAATACCCCCGTCGCAGCAAACCTGCATCCTAAGCGAATTTCCATTTTTACCCGGCTTGATTTCTACTAAAATATTCCCTATAAATTTTCAGATTTATTTCCTATTTAAATAACATTAATTTTAGTAGTTAGGTTTGCTGCTACGGGGAAGATATTGAGATGTGTTTTTTCAATTGAAATATTGATAGCTTAGTATGAAATAAACCAAATTGCCAAATTTGATTAAAATATATCCATAAACAAGCAAACTAGAACAGTTTATTTATTCTCCATAAGAATAACATGGGAATTTTAAATTTACAATTTTTTAAATTTTCTCCGTAGTCAATGAACATTCAAAAACACTTCAATATACTAAATTATTAGTTTTTTTAAGCTCTTCAAAATGATCTAGAGAGAAATTTAGAAATTTTAAGTTTTTAGGGTCAAAAATGAGAAAAACCCATTTTTACCCCATAAAACCCCCCATAAACCCCTGATCCCATGGTCCGATTATGCTGGTTCGCGAACTCGTTCGAATAAATGTAGGTTTACATGTTTGTACCAAATTTCATCAAAATCGGATCAATTTTGCTCGAGTTATCGCGCTAACGGACACATATATAAATATATATATATATGAATTTGAACGGATGGTGTTTTTGGCCTCTGGGGACCTCAAAACAAAAAAGTAAATCGGTCCCGGGTCTAGGTCTTACCATGAGACCTACGGTAATAGCTTATTCCCTATATGGGAAATTCGCTAAAAATAGGGGAAATTGAGTTATCCATTTACCAATAGTTTCCAATTATCTTATATCAAATAATATCACTAGGCTTTAGGCCAATGTAAACAACTGTAAAACAAACGCTACAATGTTATATTTAGGCTAGCAGGACGGTAGGACCACACCACGACACAGTAGGACACTTTAGCCTCAATTGAGCCTTAGACCAAGTAAACAATCCTATAACTTACCTGTACAGAGGTTGGCGCTAGAGGCTAGCAGGACGGTAGGACCACGGTCCACGACACAGTAGGACACTTTAGCCTCAATTGAGCCTTAGACCAAGTAAACAAACCTATAACTTACCTGTACAGAGGTTGGCGCTAGAGGCTAGCAGGACGGTAGGACCACGGACCACGACACAGTAGGACACTTTAGCCTCATTTGAGCCTTAGACCAAGTAAACAAACCTATAACTTACCTGTACAGAGGTTGGCGCTAGAGGCTAGCAGGACGGTAGGACCACGGACCACGACACAGTGGACACTTTAGCCTCATTTGAGCCTTAGACCAAGTAAACAATCCTATAACTTACCTGTACAGAGGTTGGCGCTAGAGGCTAGCAGGACGGTAGGACCACGGACCACGACACAGTGGACACTTTAGCCTCATTTGAGCCTTAGACCAAGTAAACAATCCTATAACTTACCTGTACAGAGGTTGGCGCTAGAGGCTAGCAGGACGGTAGGACCACGGACCACGACACAGTGGACACTTTAGCCTCATTTGAGCCTTAGACCAAGTAAACAATCCTATAACTTACCTGTACAGAGGTTGGCGCTAGAGGCTAGCAGGACGGTAGGACCACGGACCACGACACAGTGGACACTTTAGCCTCATTTGAGCCTTAGACCAAGTAAACAATCCTATAACTTACCTGTACAGAGGTTGGCGCTAGAGGCTAGCAGGACGGTAGGACCACGGACCACGACACAGTAGGACACTGATTTAGCCTCAATTGAGCCTCCGGCCTTGCTGTGCCAATTGCTTGATTCGCTGATAATGCTTCCAAATCCATCCTTTGTTGAGCGTTTCCGAGCTGAGCTCCTTGTGTCATATCAGCGAGTGTATTGGTAGTTCTGCTAACATTGGCTCGACTGATAACAGCAAGTGTAACATTATCTTTACTTCCTAGAAGTTAATGGGTTGTAAAATTGGGAAAATCTGGAGAATTTAATACAATTTGACCCCCAACTTTACTTCATAGTTAAAAATGTCATTCAATATATTGAAATCTGTATCTAATACATATTTACTTCTACAAATTCTGGTATTTATCTTCCTTAAAAGTTTACGTGCTGTTGAAGTGGCCAGAATCTTTTTGTGTTCCATAGGTTTTGAATATGTTATTGTAGGGTGATGTTATTGATATTATTAAGATAATCAAGTACAATTTCCATTGCTCTCAAAAGCGCAAACCCCGTGATACATTGATCAAACAATGGATATACATGATACTGTATACAATTTAGGGGTGTTTAAAAGTAAACCACCTTGCGTAGATGATGTTAAATAAGCTTGATGCGCTATTATGAAATAATCTTTCATATTTTTTGCTCTCTTAAGGAGATCAACAATTAATGTAAACGAACGTAAAAATGATGAGATCCCAGAATCCCCCTCTGATTTAAAATTCAAGTTTTATTTGTCCAAGGTTTAAAGAAGTATTCGTATTCCGAGGGGGAGTGGGAGCAAAAAATTAAGAGCAGAAATTAAGTCAGGGATTAACAGTGAATTTTTAAAATTGACCCTGTTTCAAGACAAGCCCCTTCCTTGTTCTTAGCAGCGACATAAAAAAGAGCAAAGAAATCGGAAAAGTTGATCCAGGCACGTAAATGAAAAATTACATTCTCTTCGGTAAGACCTTAAGTACAGCGGGATGAAGCGGGGTCGCCGTAGTGAAAATCACTCCTGCATTCGGCTATCAGACAATCTTAATTATGGGGAAATATTAGACAACTCACTTATAACTAGACCTTCAACATTTTTATTTGTGTTTTTCCTTTTTTTGTACAAAATCAACCAATCCATAATTGAGATGGGGACGACACCTATGTGCGTATTTTTAACCCAAATATGAGTGAAGAATGAGTCAGTGTGAGATTATCTGTGTTAGAATGTAGAATTCACGATTCTGATTAGTTAACATTCTTATTACATTTTCTTTTTCTTATTAAATTTTATCAACATTCCATACGGAATTTGTCACTAGGCGGACAGCTAAAGTACAATAGTAGTAGTGTACAAACTAAAGTACAACTAAGTTACTACGAGTGTCGTTACGACTATTTACGTGAGTTGCGTACACTACTTTACCTACAACAGTGTGTTTTCATAACTAAATATACTAAAAAACACTACTCATAACTTCTAAGGGATGTTATGTTTTCGTTTATAACCTCTCATTGCCACTGACAGTGATGCAACGAAACATTGTACCAATCACTAATTGCACCACTTAACAATTAAACTGGCCAGAACAGCTGATTAGTTGAAGTTCAATTCATTACAATTTTACTACTTTTCTCTCAATCTTTGAGCCTCATTGGTCCGTTACCCGTGTTGGTAAAACTATGTTGTTATGTAAATAAATAATGCTGTTATGTGAAACTTTTCAATTCTAAGAACTGAACTGAAACAGCTACTTTAAAAACTGTCGTAGGTAAAATGTATAACGATTATCATTTTACAATACAATATAAGATAACTTACCTAGTCTGACAGTTGTACTCTTGTGTGGCTACACAGAGATAACCAGTGATTGTTGCATCATAATATCTGTTACAGACTATCCATTACTCCCAACCTCAAGTGTCAAGTACGCTAACTGCAGAACAAACAATTGGAGATTGAATTTTACAAATGATTTCATTCACATTTAGGTAAAAACACACAGCACTTCGTGTCTGTCTGAATATAATTATAACAACCAGGTGGATAACGCTGGTGTTGAAAGTGCATCTACCATTATTGGGAATGGGTTAGCCGATTTTAATTAGCAAACGTTAAACGATATACGTTTTAATTGCTGTATTAACGCCGTGTTTGTCTTTTATGCAGTGTGATAATTAGTTGATTTTTTTAGAATCCGAGCATGTAAATACATGTAGCACACCTGTGAAAGGTTTTCTATAGTTATTTGTGAAACTACACCTTGTAGACGAGTGTGGAAAGTTTCTCGAGTGCAGCAAATGCAGTTTACACTCGTGTTACCCATAATATTTTTCATACAGTCACTATAAATCATGTAAATAATTAGTCTTTCAACCACTGTACAACACGTTTTTTGGTTAGGTTAAATCCGAACATTGAACGAAATGGAAAACGCTGCACCAGCTAATCGTAGTCGTAATATTTTAAGTGCTGCCAACTTATTTTCAAGTGTACACGTATGCATAATAAAATCACGCTGTTTTGTGTTTAGTTAGAATGGTGTGCGCCAAAGTAAGGCTTTCTGTACTAATCTGTACAATGAAGCCCACTTTGTCCGGAGACTGTAGGAAAAATATATGGTACTCGAGTACCATATTACCATATTACATATGAAATATCGTAGGCATTTTGTTCGAACTAGGTTGGAGACTGAGTAAACTCAATCTCCGAGAAATGTGAAATGTATTTAACCATCGTTTGTAACTAAACGTTACAATACTAACATCATTCCTAATCCTAGAAAGGTCTAAAATAAAAAAAAAACACACGGCTAGTAATTTCAAATGTGGTTTTTTGCCAACGCATCGCATACAAACTGTCCAAAATACACCTCCTTCGTCCGAGGGTAAGGGTAGACCCAACAACTACTCCTCAACCCCGTATTATCCCCTTGCATATCAACATGCAGTAATCTCGTCTTAACAGCGTGGATTATACACTGCCGTGCTCGCCCATTTATATACCATGGAGACGCTAAGGGTAGACCCAACAACTACTCCTCAACCCCGTATTATCCCCTTGCATATCAACATGCAGTAATCTCGTCTTAACAGCGTGGATTATACACTGCCGTGCTCGCCCATTTATATACCATGGAGACGCTAAGGGTAGACCCAACAACTACTCCTCAACCCCGTATTATCCCCTTGCATATCAACATGCAGTAATCTCGTCTTAACAGCGTGGATTATACACTGCCGTGCTCGCCCATTTATATACCATGGAGACGCTAAGGGTAGACCCAACAACTACTCCTCAACCCCGTATTATCCCCTTGCATATCAACATGCAGTAATCTCGACTTAACAGCGTGGATTATACACTGCCGTGCTCGCTCATTTATATACTATGGAGACGCCGCGCGACGTTCGATGGCTTTTCTTCTAATTGCGTCTTTTTATTCCAATGCATATTTAAGGCGCCTTCCGACCCCGTTCTTTTAAACCCAATTTCCATTAGGGATCAAATATTCAGATGGTGTGATTAAGGCAGTGATCACAATGTCCTCCGCTTGCTCTTCTAATGTCCCGGCTTAGCGGGGCTCTTCAAAAATTCTCTTTTGATTAGAATTTTTTGCAACGTCTTAGTTACTGTCTTTCATGAGCTTAGTGGATATTGTTCAAGTCTCAATGCTGTAAGTGACATTTTCAGAATTATTAATTTTATTGTCGGAGAAAATCTATAGCGGAAATAAAAAAAAGTTATTGTGGTATGAATTAAAAATGTAATACTCATCTAAAACATGAAAGTGAAATAGTATATAACTTGTCTGGTAATTAGATTGTTGTTTTAATTTAATCATATTACATTGATTATTGGGTTAGCATTAAATTAATCCTCATGCAATAATTTACACATAATGATATAACATATCATTATTTTGACATATCCTATGTCAATTAATATATTCTCTGAAGGAATGTGACGTTAGCATATGATAAAAAATATAATAGTTTACTCAATACTTTAATACTTTTTTTAATACTTTTCATTTCAATGGCGACCATACAAAGTAGGTATTTTAAGCCAAGTATGAATGGAGATGAGTATAGGATGAGTGGCGCGATCTTGTAGTCTTGTTAGTGACTAAGGGCAACATATTCCTTAGTCACAGCTGTTAATTAATAGCCCGTACAGCTAATGGCAGCTAAGGGATCTACAGTTTATAGTGGAATCCGAACCACATTTTTGCCTTAGTATATACGAATTGGCCTAATTATCATGATAGTATTGCGGATAGTTGTAGTACTCACTTGTGCGGACGTTAATCCACACGAGGGAGTATCGCATCCACAGTGCATGCCTATAAATATCCACAATTCGTGACCTCCTAGTAGCTGGATTACAGGACGACGCCACCCGTCCCAGTATATAAATAAATAAAAATATAATAAAAATACGAAACTAGGAACGGTTTTTTTAATTATGTACCTCACAA